GGGGGGCCCCAGGCTGAGGGGGAGGGGGGCATGTCAGGCTACAAGCGATATATTTTTTTGAAAAATAAAAGTATGAACTCATGTTAATCATGATAATTATTGTAGTGAAATAATAATTATGCGGACGATATACCAAGGAATGAGGCTGGTCACTACAGGCTATGACTGTACTACAAGCAATATATTTTAGAGAAATATAATTGTGAATTAATGTTAATTAATTTAATTAATTTAATTTGTTAATAATTAACGTTAATTAATACACTTGAAATATATAATATGAATTAGTGTCAATCAGGTTAATTATTAATTTGTTCAAGACACGCGCACATTACCTGCCCCAGCAGCCCTGCAAGAGCGTCGATCTGCTGCTGGCGACACGGCAGCGCCGCCTTCAGGGCCACCAGCTCCTGCATCACTGCGGGGTGATGACACGTCGTGATAGTTGTGATGGTGAGAAGATGTGATGAGTGTAGTGTGGTGAGTAGATGTCAGTAGATGTGGTGAGTAGATGAGGCGAGTAAGTGTGGTGAGTAGATGTGGTGATACGTGTGGTATGTAGATGTGGTAAGTGGTGAGTAGTTGTCGTGTGTAGATGTGGTAAGTAGCTTGCAGCGGTGGTAAAGAGTGGTTATGGAGGGAGCTGTGGAGTGATCATTGAAATCAACACAACTCGAACCGTTGATGTCGATTCGAGTTGCCAAATCAAGCTTCGTAAAATCGGGAGAGATTATTTAATTAAATTTGACTGAATTAACCTATTGCGGTTTTTGCAGTGACAGCTATGACAATGCCAACAATCTGGCGAATGATTGGTAATAAAATTCTACGTTAAATGTGAATAAACTCTAAAGTAATCATAGTTGTAGATCTGGTAGTATACAAGCTATAACATAGTCCACACGCTTCATTGTGATGATGAGCGTTATTGTCATAGATAACATTGTTATCGAACATATACTAAGAAATAAGAATATGTTCAGGCTAGGCGGGAAGCTACCACAAGGATAATGAACAGCCAGGCAAAAGATGGTGAGAACTTTTATTCAGCATCAAGAACTTCACCAGAACATTCAAGTGAACACCTGGCCTAACACATGTTTATCATATCGTTGATATTGCATGGTATCTCTACATGCACACGCACCGCTGTGCGTGTAAAGGAGCAGAACACACGACAAAAACTAAGCAATATAAACTATGCTATGTATGGTTTATAAAACTTGACCACCAATAAGGTACTTTGCGCTTTACTGGTGCCACGCTATGTCGCTGTATCTTTTGAAATATCCCTTGCATTCTTCACAGTAACTAAACACACATAAGAAATTAACAAAATTCAAAAGCTGGCGAAGCGAATCGATTTATAAACGTATAACAAAACAGTTTCTCCTTCGATATGTCCCAACAAAGAACCGTGTACAATAGATAGAACAGTAGCTCGCGAAGAACTTTATCAAAACTAAGTTCGAAAAATCATACCCGAGAAATAGACGCCCTAAAATATCACATCCGAATTTCCTTTACAAGATCCATGAAAGAACAACCTCTCCGTCACTGCGTGTACAAGCTAGCGGCAAAGACGATGTCCCGCTTGATGGAGGCTGAAGCTTGTTCCATCTTCTCGACGAGCTTCGTATCGCCGACGATCTTGGCCGCATTTCTGACATCTCTGAGCGTCTCGTCAAGCCTCTGGATGCACTTGACGGTCACACCTTCCTGCACGTCAGTCAACTCCATGATCTTGTTGAACGGCATGCCGTGCGCCCACTCGTACACGACCTCCACGAGGCCGAAATTGAACTGGTCAACAAAGTCACCAACGGGCTCCGCCAGCCCACAGTCCCGTTGCTTCTGGCCAATTCGGGTGGCGACTCGCTTGAATTCCGCGATGCCTTCCGCGATGTCGGCTTTTAGCTCAGGTTCGCTGCAGAATTTCTGCTGGAAGACCAAGCTCGAGAGCAGAGCTGCTATCACTTCTATGGGCTTATCGGCGAAGATGTTCTCGAGAAGCAGTTCAGTAACCATAAGCTCGTGATTACCTATTTCACAAGCAACCTTACCCTTGAGAGTGACAGTTTTATTGTCATCGATGTAGCCGAGCTCCTTCAGGACATCGATTCTCATTTGGTATTCTGGGTGGAGCTGTAGCGACTCCTCTGACATCAGGAACTTGAGGCGCGTTATTTCCTCCCTTGCCTTTAGGTAGGTGAAAGCTTGAGTGAAGTGCTCCTTGAACTGGGGGCACTCGAGACAAGCTTGACTTCGGAGCCTCGCTTTCAACATCTCGAGTTTTTCTATCTCAGTGACGGAGTCCATATCCTTGACGCCAAGGTCCTGGCTGAGGGAGAGGAGCGACAGCTCAGACCCCGCCGTCTGATGCAGGCGCTGCAATTCGCTCACCAAGTCCAGCACAGATTGGCCCGGAGGATCATCTCTGAAGCGAGGAATTTTTCGCTTATTCACATTATCCACGACCTTGTCGCCACTGATTTTCAGGAGCTTGTTGGTTATGGCAACAATGTTCTTGGGGCTGATGTTGATGACTTCGTGGGCAGTGGTGCCCCCCGAGTAGTGGATGGACTCGCGTGCTCCATCACACTCGGCCATCAGCAACTCGTCCGCCGAGGGCAGCGCGTTCGCTGTCTCAGGATCGGTCAAGAGGAACAAACTCAACTTCTCCTTCTCGCGTGGATCCAACTTGACGATACAAGCCAGGAAGTTCTGGTACTGCTGGTAGCTAACGACCACCACGCGACCAGGCTGCAGAAGACGACCCACGGAGGCGTGGCCGGCGATCATGGTCATGACGGACTGCCGCTGCGTCACCACGTCCCGCGAGAGGGCGTAGTAATCCCTAATGTCTTTGCACATGACGCAGCTCAGCTCCTCCTGACCCGACACGTCTTTCGTGAGCTTATCGAGAGCACTGGAGTATTTAGAGTGATTCATGAGCTGGATGCACTCTGAAAAGGAACGCTTCATCATGTCCTCAACTCTGAGCGCCTCGACCCGAAGCAGGTTCAGAATCATCGAGTATGTTAGTTTGAACTGAGATTCGAGTTTAGAAGGCTTGCCTAACATCATGTGGTGAAGGTCAGCCATCTCAGGCACGTCATTCTTGCAGAGGATGATGACGGTGCCCGTGTCGTCGAGGCCGCGTCTGCCCGCACGCCCTGCCATCTGAATGTACTCACTGGGCAGCAGATCTCGCAGTCGTTGGCCGTCGTGTTTACGAATGGAGTCGAAGACCACAGACCGCGCTGGCATGTTCACGCCCATGGCAAACGTCTCGGTGGCGAATAAGACTTTCACCAAGCCTTTGGCGAACAACATTTCGACCACTTCCTTGAGCATCGGTAGGATGCCGCTATGATGCACGCCGATGCCGTTCCTCAGGAGCTGACGAAGATGTACCACTTGAGGCAGGATCTTGTCACTTCCTTGCAAACGATCAAGACATTTTCTGATGAAGCTTTCGATTTGTCCTTTCTCAGCCTTGGTGGTTAGATCTTGACTGACTAAATTAGTGGCGTTCGAGTCGCATCTTTTCTTCGAAAGAGTGAAGGCCACCACGGGGAGCAGCTCTCTCTTACTCAGATGGTCTATGAGGCCAATCCACATGTGCTTCTCTTGCTTGTCCCCCATGTGCTGCTTGCCCCCTTGCTTGGCCCCATAAGGCTGCGCTGACTTCTTCTCTCGGTCTTTTTTAGAAGCTACAGCATCAGCGTAGCCTGCTTTCACGAAAGTTCCGTTAGAACTGACGATCAAATACCGATCATCTTTGGTTTTCCCGCCAGATCCCGTATAGAGGAAATGCTCGAGAGGAACAGGTCGTTTTGTGGTACTGATTACATATATTTTTCGTTTCTTTATCCGGCCGATCCAGTCTGCAAACTCGGTAGTGTTTGGTACCGTTGCCGAGAGCAGCACAATGTTGACGTGAGCAGGCAGCATGATGAGCACCTCTTCCCATACATGGCCGCGCTCCACGTTGTTGATGTAGTGCACCTCATCGAAGATCACCCACTCAAGGTCCCGGATGACGTCACTTCCGTTGTATAACATCGACTGGAGAATTTCCGTCGTCATGATAAGGCACGCCGCTTTAGGGTTGATCTGAATATCCCCAGTCAGAAGACCAACGTCATTAAACTTTGCTTTGAGGTCCCTGTACTTCTGGTTGGATAAGGCTTTGATAGGTGACGTGTAAATGGCGCGGGTCATGTGCTTGAGAGCCAGAGCAATAGAGTACTCGGCAACGACCGTCTTACCGGCGGACGTGTGAGCCGCGACGAAGACGCAGTCTTGTTGTTCCAGGTGCACGATTGCCTGCTTCTGGAATGTGTCCAGCTCGAAGGGGTAGCTGCAGGCTGGGTCTGGAACCTTCACCTTGAAGTCGTCCACCGGGGCATTTGCGTCTAGCACCTCAACCCACTCGGTGTTTGAAGCGATCAGAATGCCCTTTTCAGCTCCAGCACTAATTTTTATAACATTCTTGTCATCATTAATCAGAGTAGTAGAAGATGAAGTTGGTTCATCAGGTAGAGAATTGATTAATTCTTCTTCTGCCTTAGCTTCACCAAAGACCAGCGCAGGTTTCCCAGCATCATCCGTCTTACTGTGCGACACAGAAAACACGTCCAGCATGTCGTCTTCCACCAACAACATATCAGCAATGCTGAGCTCTTCCGCATCTTTGCTTCCAACTTCATATATATCCCCCTTTTCCTTTTGTTCTTTCGAGCTGAAATCAATGCCACCAGAGAGTTTTGGGTGGCGTGTGAGTAAGGTTGAGAAGTCCAGTACAGCTTCCTGATCAAGTTCCTCCTCCATGGTGGTGGGGTCAAAACCACCAGGCCAAAAAGGCAAGTTTGTTGACGTTCCTCGCACACTTTCTTCAGGCGGCCCAGGGGCTCGTTGCAGGGATAAAGAGTTCTTATTTGTGAGGCCTGTGTCACGGTTGAAGACTTCCTCCAAGCCTGTAATGTCACCAGTTGCCAGATCCCTGGTCACTTGCAAGGTGGATGCCAGTGAGCTCATCTTTGGTTCAAATAATCTGTGATAGTTAGGCACGCGAGGAACATATTTCCTGGTCTCCTGTAGGCTGTGGATTGGCAAGTCTTCAGGGTGGAGTAAATAGCTCTCAATGAGCTGCTTCAAATCAGGTAGAAGCGGAGGGAAATCTTTCATTTCAACTGAAGTCATTTTTCCAGATCACAATCAATAATGGTAACAATGGAAAAAAATCTGACCGCCCAGAATTATACAAGTCTCCACTCAAAGCTCAACCATTCAACATATAGGATTCATTCAATAAATACGGTACTTCCTTAAAACAAATGTTAAATTAAGTTACAGCAAAAGGACTGTAGACAAAAATCTCTTGCTCTCCACGATTCAGCAAATGAATAATTATGTATTAACTAAACAAAATTTAACTAAATCTCCAGCTAGGTAACATGTCAGTTTCACATTACTATGACAATTTAATCCAAAGATTTGCAATCAATGAAAGAAGTTTTGAACAAGTTGAGATGAGCCCGAGAATGTAAGTGATGTACGACCACAGACACCTGCAGGACAAAACAAAGTGTTAGTCCTACAGGCAAGGTCATTACCAAGCCAAAATTACAGACATGACCTTTGAGCAACATTATTTTCCAACCTTCAGAGACTAGTGAATAAACACAAGATTCTTCTCAGCAAATTTTAACGGACTTCAATATTTTGAACATTAAAAACAATTGATCTTAATAAATAAAAAAACTATCAGATATATAAAAGAGATCTTGTGACAAGTAGGTATTGTTGGTGGAAAACAAGTTATATACATTTTGTATGTTGTTGAGATCAGAGCAGTTAGCGCACTCCAAATGCACAGCATTAAGCATGATATGAAATAACAAAATGCATTGAAATTAATCAGCATAATATAACTATAAAAAAAGACAGTTGCTCAAGATACAAATATTAAGTCCTGATGAATTCCATATTCAATCTCATGTTTAACTGATTCAATACAAGCAAATATTTCACCTACTCTTCCAAATCAAAGAAGACTGTTGTTATTAGTTCTTACCTTATTAGTGTCTCCTTATGACTGTCTTCAATTATTGGTCTCTTGATACACCAGGAGGAAGAAGAGTGATAGTGAACACAGCGTTGTCAGCCACTCTCGTATCCTGGAACAACACAAAAATTAGGTATCTTGATTTCTGTAGTTAATAGGCAATGCATAAACCAAGACACACCAATATCTGAAAAATTTATACTTTGAGCTATAGGTAGTTGTACAGGTTAAAATAACTATACTAGTAGGCTTATATACTGGTACCATATGTGTACAAACCACACACAGATCACAAAAAAGCTACCAAATGGTAGTCAGCAAGTTTTTGCTCGAGTGCTTGGGACGCATTTAGATTTAAAAGTCCCTGCCTAACTGGCAGCTTAATTTGATTAGCTTGTATTTAGAAAATAACAAAAAAACTTTAATTATGACAACACAATCTTCTTTTTTGATAAAGTTCTATCTTCTACTTGCTTGGCTGGGATTTGCAAAGGAGCTATTTGGAAGGTGCCAGACGCAATATAAAAGGCTCCTGAATTAATCTGGAAACAGGGTAATAAGGGACACTTGAAATAAAACTCAATTTTAAACGTTAGCAGTTTGAAGCATGCAGAGTGTATTCAACAATTAATAACAGTACCTACTCTGAAGTCCTCCTATTCCTTTGTAGATGATGAAAAAGTAGAATAAATGAAATTTTCTGTGATTTTTACTTGATTTTTCTTTATTGATATATTACCTTACCCATGCATTACCGTATTATTAATGTGATATTATTCTATCCATGGACATGCCATTGAGCATTGGCAACGACCTTGTCCACTGCAAGCTTCATATCAGCAGCCATGTAGCATTTCTTCTGTATCTGTAACCTTACAAGATGGCTTTTAATTTTGCACAATTTTAATCGAGTCAAGTGATTTCACTACCGTCAACTGGGGCTACTTGGGATGATTTCGAACATTTTTCATTCATAACTTCTTACCATGAAACATTTCATAAACAAGTTTAGGCTCATTTTAAAGCTCTTTGCAAGGGCTATCACATGGCTTCTCCAAAAAAATTCCATATGCTATTTGTAAGGTGCCAGAAGCAAAAAAAGAGTGTCCCGAGTAGCGCCGTCGAACAGGGCTACTCGGGACACTTGGGAAAAAAACTTTATGTTAAAACATTTGAAGCATGCAGTTGCAGAGTGTACTCATCCATTACTAACAGTACTCTGAAGTCCTCCTCTTTCATTGTAGATGATGTACAGGTAGAATAAATGACATTTTCTGTGATTTTTACTTGTTTTTCCTTTGATATATTACCATATACATTAATTACCGTATTATTAATGCGATATTACTGTATCCATGAACATGCCATTGAGCATTTACAACAACCTTGTCCACTGCAAGCTTCATATCAGCAGCCTTATAGCATTTTTTGCTATATCTGTAAGCTTACAGGACGACTTGTAATTTCACACCATTTTAATTGGGTTAAGAGAATTTACTATAAAAAAAAGATCATGAAAAACATACCTGAAACAGAAAGGAATGTTTTAGTGACAACCCTCATATGTTTTGGAGAAATAAATCATAGTTTAGGTCAATTACTTTTCATTCTATGATGCCTAGTGCATAATTCTATATATGACATTCTATGCACAATTTTGTGATGACCGATGATGCACTAATTTTAAGATAAGTGAAATTTTTTTTGCTGAGCATGGTATATGTAATCAATATTCTTTGTTTTTAATCTATATTTTTCTTAACTGGAGCCTTTGCAAACTGAGGTTCTACTGTAAATGCATTTTTGGGGGTGTCCCTAATAGCCCCAGGGGGTGTCCCTAGTAGCCCTGCCGTGCAGAAATAGCTGCCATTTTTTTTGGATTGAGGTATGTAAATTCCGCAAATAAAGTTTTCATGCTGACACTTGTCTGCCACTTTTTTCCAAGCAAAATTTTTTAATACAGCAAATATTTTTTTTTTACTACAGACCATAGCAGAAGTAACTATTCAAAATATTGTTTTTCACCATTTTTTTCAGGAATTTTTCAAAGCTAGTAAATTTAGTATTTTTGAACTTCCTTTATACTACCGTACATAGATAGGAAAAATGTTGACGTTTACGCCACTATATTTAGTTTTGCAATATTCCAATTAGTTTCGCTACTAAAACAGTTTTATGCCATTTCAGAGGACAGTCCCGAGTTACCCCATCCGTCCTGAGTACCCCGGCTGACAGTATAACAAAAAAGATTGTAAAAAACATACCTGAAATAGGAAGGAATATTTTAGTAACAACTATCATATTTTTGGACAAATAAATCATAGTTTAGGTTAATTACTTTTCATTCTTCATTGCCCAGTGCTCAATTTTATCTATGACATTCTATGCACAATTTTGTGATGACTGATGCAGTAATTTTTTGTAAGGCTAAGTGAAATTTTTTCACAGAGCAAGGTAAATGTAATCAAAATTCTTTGTTGTTAACTAATTTACCATCAACTTTAGCCTTTGCTAGCTGAGGTTTAACTGTAAATGCAATTTTAGGGGTGTCCCTTATTACCCCATTTTGTAGAAATGGCCAACATTTTTTCTTGAAATGTGATCTGCAAATTCTGTCAATCACATTTTTAAGCAAACACCAGTGTGCAACTTTTATGCACGTAAAATTTTTTGATACAACAAATATTTTTTCTGCTACAGACTTTAGCAGAGGTACTTTTCCAAAATCTCACTTTTCACACTTCTTCTCATGGATTTTTTAGAGGTAATAAATGTATGATTTCTCAACTTGCTATAAGCTGCATAGATAGTAAAAATGTTGAACTTTACACCACTATTTTTAATTTTGCAATATTTTAATTTGCTTAGCTGCTACAACATTTCTACAAAATGTTGGAGGACTGTCCCTTATTACCTGGCCCATCCCTTAAGGCCCTGATTGAAAACCGAGAGGCTTCGAACAGGCTTGGCTCTTCCCTATGCGATTCTTCACTAATTAGGATAGACTTTACTCCACTCCCAAATGAGATGGCGATATGGATTTTTCCATACTTACCCAGCTATTTATTCATAAACGTCGACCAGTAACAAAAAATATGTAAACTTTGTATTAAAAAAATTTAATGAGAGAAAATTTCAAGAAACTTTAAATATTATTGTTCATCAAGTCTGCGACTTTTACACTTTTTTCAAGATATAAATGGGTTGTAAATTTTATTGTCAATTGAATGGTATATTTGGCATTCCTTGATCAGCTTCCTTGTTATAGATATTTTCTACCCAAAAAATATTTATGATCGAGTCTGCTGATACGCGGAGGGAAAATCCCGCATTCTAGCTGCTCAAATGGAGACGTCGTGCAATGTTTGAGGGGAAAGAGACGTCATAAATTACTCAACTGTCAGTTCACGACGGATGGCATGGTGCCGGGAACTCAATGAGGGGCAAAGAATAGTACGTGGCCAGTGGTTGGCTTAGTCCAATTATTTATAGCTGACCGCTGGTCATTCCTTGGCCACCTGAAAGCAACCATTTGCCGCAAAGAAGGGTCTGGCTAGGATATCATATTATAAAGAGTACAANTATCGACTGGCCGAGCTTTGGGCAGATCCAAGGATTTTACACGATGGTTGCGAAAACCTCACTCTCAGACTTCGCTGCATTTTTACTACAAGCCTTAATACCCCATTTGATGGTATTTGATGGTCATGTTGCAAAAAAAGAATACATCAGTCTGATGTCTGACTCATGAAGAGCAAGATTTTCTCTTTTAGATGATACTATTCACAAATCACAAGCAGATTTGGGCTGACTATTTTTTAGTAATTAGCTTTGAACTCAGTTAAATGTTACCATTTGTGCTGATACTGACAAATTTCAAGAGATCCTGCACCTGCAGGAGGCCTATGGGGACAGTAAATAATGGGGTCTGCCATGATGCCATCTGCCAGGCATCTGGGAAGCTGAAAATCCAGCTATATTATGTCCAGCACAAACATAAAGCTTTTTTAGAAGTTTAAGTCCATATCTTGACCTGCAAGGAAATTGTTGCAGTCTAAATGTTGGTCAAAATTTGTTGCGTTCAGTCACAACAAATTTTGATTTTTGAGGTACATTTCGAGTCAACTTGTTTGGCTGAATTTTGCATCAGTAATGTCAGAAGTAATTTTGTAAAAATCAGCACAAAAAGCTGTACTACAGGATCTCATTGTACTAGCCATTTTTATAAATTAGTTTCAATTTTATTAAGACCCCAAAAATCGCATTTTGCTCAATGTTGCACACGTGACACGCGCAGGCCGCAGGCTGCAGCGCAGACAGTCAGACTGACTGACTGACTACTCTTCAGACAACTTGACAAGTTGACAAGGGGGTCTACTGGTCTAGATCAGCATTCCGCAACTATTGCATTCATACCTAATTGCAGCTAGAACTAGAAGCATAATATTTTGGAAAACTTGGTTTAGCACCTCACTGTTGTCTGTTGCTAGTTAAAACTTGAAGAAAATTGTAGTCATTCACTGTCATTGATGGTGGTGGAAACTGTAAAGGGTTAGACCACTTAGATTAGAATAGAAGTGTCGGCACTAAAGTGAAGAAATAGACGTAGGCCCATCATGATGATCATGGCATGGATTCCAGGATTGGAATAGGTAATTGCTAATCTAATTGTTTGGCATGGAATGACGGCCGGGCAATGACCCATAAGTATTTTAAGCCTTCAAGAAGTTTTTTTTTTGCCGCAAATAACATTGTTGGATCGAGAAACTGGTCTTAGTGTATTGAAAAAATACATGAACCGTCATTTTTAGAATTCCATCTCAGGCATCCTGCAAGTTGAGGGCTGAGGCTACTCGCCTACCGGCTACCTCTAGACTCTAGAGTCTCTAGTCTAGGCTAGCGGCCTAGCGCGCTAGCCTAGATTATAATACTTAGGAGTTAGGTATTAACAATAACCTGATATTTGAAACTGCACATAAGGTTTAACAAAGCCTTGATTTTTCTTGATACTCACTCATTGATATCCTGGACTACGAAGAAACCATTTCCAAATCAGAGGTCAGAGTAACTATCGCAGGGCAGCTGGTGGCTGGCGGGAATAGGTAAACAATAAACAGCTGCGCGGTGCGCGCGAGCATGGAGCGGCAGGCGCTAAGACTCTAAATGTGACTGTTAACAAGGGAAAACCCTGGAATCATACGTAGCCGAGTTTCTGATAACTAGTAAAAAATGTATTGCTACTTATTTGCAGTTAGTAAAAAAATTCAACTAAAAATTTATGAAACCACCTAAATGACAGGTGGTAAAAATAACTCTGAATTAATTATTTGAGGCATTGTGATTCTCGAACCCTGTATCTCCGTAATTGAATTTAAATAGACAGCTAGACATCACGTCTCGGACAAATCTCGAAGCCGGACTCGCGGCCGTCAGTGTACCTGGAATATCTTCCAAAGTACTGAACGTATCTCGATGAAACTTGGTACACATATTCATTATGGCCTAACGGTGATGTCAAGCTTGTGACAATTTTTTCAAAATCGCCTTCATTCGTGAGTTCTATGACGAAACGTGCCGAAATTTGCAGTTTACCGACCATTTCTTCCAGAGTATTGAACAGATCTGAATGAAATTTTGAGTATGAATTCCTGAATACTAAACGGTGATGTTTAGCTCGTGAAAATTTTATACGTTTTGCCTTCGTTGGCGAGTATTTTTCTCTTAACCCTCATTCATGACTTAAACAGCAAAATAGTGCTCAAATTCGCAGTGTACCAGAGATTTCTTCTAAAATACTGCACAGATTCGAACGAAACTTTGCATATAGAAACCTAACCTCCAAACGGTGATGTTTAGCTCGTGACAATTTTTTTTATTTTGCCTTCGTTTGCAAGTTATACGGCTTTACGCAAATGGCTCTTGTTCAATGCAAGTTCAAAAATCTGCTTGAGAAATGCCGGTCGTTTCACCGTATATCCGTATAACTCGCAAACGAAGACCAAATCGAAAAATTTGTCACCAGCTAAACATCACCGTTGGGAGGTTAGTTTTCATTATGCAAAGTTTCGTTCGAATCTGTTCAGTATTTAAGAAGAAATATCTGGTATACTGCGAATTTAAGCACTATTTTGCTGTTTAAAACGCGAATGAGGGAAAAAAATACTCGCCAACGAAGGCAAAACGTAAAAAATTTTCACGAGCTAAACATCACCGTTTAGTATTCATAAATTCACATTCAAAATTTCATTCAGATCTGTTCAGTACTCTGGAAGAACTGGCCGGTACACTGCAAATTTCGGCACGTTTCGTCATATAACTCACGAATAAAGGCGATAGTAAATAAATTGTCCCGAGCCTGACATCACCGTAAGGTCATAATGAATATGTGTACCAAGTTTCATCGAGCTACGTTCAGTACTTTGGGAGATATTCCAGGTACACTGAATTTGGACACCGGCCGCGGGTCCGGCTGCGAGACAGGCCGCAAGTCCGGCCGGAAATTTGTCCGAAACGTCTAAATGTCACAAAAATTTCAGTTAGGTATAGAGGTTAAGTGGAATAAACTAATCACTAAAGAGACCGTGCAAATTGCATTTGACAAAATTTGGAATTTAGGAAGTGGAAGATTCAAGTGGAAGAAGGTCATTATTTCTCACTATTCGGCAGCTCAAATAGAAATAAAATGCCTAAAATTATTAGTTTGCGATGCAAGTTAACGTAAAATTGTAAAGCAAATAGTGTCAAGTAAATTCACTATATCTTCATTGAAAACGTTTCGCAGACCAGCTTTTCATACCTCTAGGAATTTATATGCAAAGTTCCGTTGAAATCAAATCAGTTGTTTGGAATATATATCGGGGTCGTTGCGTATTTTTGCCTGTGTGACCCATATAAGTCGAGAACAAAGGCGAAATCTAAAAATTCACACGCGCTAGACGTCACCGTTAGGTCCTAAAAATACATGTGTAAGGTTACATTTAGCTACGTCTATTAGTTTTGGGATATTTCATGGTAGCTGCGTACGTTTATAATTTTGGAGGGCGGCCGGAAGACCAGTCGTAAGTTCGGCCGGAGAATTGTCTGTGATATCTCTATCATCGGTATAGGTGATCAAATAATTCAATGTAATACAATAAAAAAAATCATATTTATATAGAACAGATGAAAACCTTAGTACAGAATTGACTGTTAATAAAGCGTAGGTAATTCTAACTTTAGTTTATACCTAAATATTAAACATCAATTATGTAAAATTGTGAAGAAGGCCCGAGCGATGTTAAGTTATTATAGGCAGGATGTTACTTGACCACAAATTAGGGGTAGAAAACCCAGGGAGCGAGTTTGTTTATAGTTCGGAATGACCGGGGGCTGACCTTTGTGGAACTCGAAACTGTCGCGGCGTCCCGTGGTAGGCTTATGTGTGCGCGACGTCTGCCGATATAAGGACCCTAAAATTCGCGCCTAAATGTAGGGACCGTCGTGCCAGTACGATCTGCAGCAATTTCCGCATATGTAGGTGACGGCACTGGCCGCCGGTCGAGAAATATCGGCCGCGCGAAACTTCGAGTCATTCATATCACTAGGACTCCGATTTTACCTCGTCAAAAATACACGGGGCGAATAGTTGCGTCGACTACAGTTTTGCCGGCTGAGAGCTTTGCACGATGAGAGTGTTTTCCGTACAGTGCAGCGTTGCCAGATGTTATATTTTTATACCAGATTTCACAAATCTGGTAATTTCATACGGTATCTGGTATGAATATTTTAGAACTGGTTTATTTGCCTAAATCTGGTATTTTCTGACTTACTGCATATTTATTGCATTAAGTTCCACCTTTGAAGTTTGAACTTCCTCCAGAGTAGGCGTAGATTACATAGATTACCTTCAGAGCGGAGCGACTAGAGGTTTCCCGCCATTTTTGGCACAGCAAGTTTACCGCTTGATTAAATTACCCCAATCTAATTGTTAACATTTAACAAAAGTGGGATATAAGCACGAGGGTGATGATTCTTGATTGATTAAAGATCAGTGATGATATGGCTTAAGACGAATGAGGTTGTCAAGCCGATCTCTGCGACGCAATCTCCACCATTTTTGTTTGGTGGTTTTGAATTCTAGCGTGCCACTTGAATTCTGGTGTGCCATTCAATATTTCACTGACCTTGAAAATTATCATCCATTCATGGAACTGGCTGTCTACTGCATCACTTGTCTACTTTGACCTGTCTCCATTGATTCGTGGAGACAGTGTTTTCACAAGGTATCTATGTGAAAAACAAGCAACGAAACAAAATTTCAACCAAGGTACTGGAGTCCCTTATTCGGACCAAAGCTATCTGCTCACTGCTCAGCCTTCCAACGATGGCGTTTAACGCAAACCTCCCTGCGACGATGTTTAGCTCGTGATAATTTTTTCGGTTTTACCTTCGTTCGCGAGATTTTTCCATTTCAGCTTCATTCGCGAGTTATAATAATAATAGCGGTTTCAACGTTTATTAGGCCGTAGGCCTGTCGCCGATTCTTAACATCGCAGAACATTCACAGCATGTTGCGGTCTCGAACTCGCAACTCACTGCTACAATTCTGCTTCGTTAACCACCCGGCCTCCTTGCCGATTATGACCAGAAACTGGCGCACAGAGCTGGGATCGAACCCTCGCCTTTCTGCGCCAATCTTGGTACTCTGAACTTTAACCATTGGCCACCCTGCCCAGCATAGAGCAATTCGGGCAGAAATTTGCAGTGGCCAAGAAATTTATTCTAAACTATGAACAGATTTCAACAAAACTTTGAAAGTGCAAACCGAGACGCGGCTCTCAGGGGGCGCGGCTCACGTAACAGGTCGTCTGGGTCTGGTAGACCTGGCAGAGTGAGCGGCTCAAGAAGTCAGGGTCTCAGAGGGCGCGGCTCACGGAGGTCTCAACCGCACCCTCGGCAACATTATAATAGCGTTGCCCAGAAAATATGTTTAGAAATCATCGAACAGATAGTTTGTAGGCATCCAACAATTATCCAAATCTTGAGCATCAAATTCAAACCGAACTACGTAATAATCAGCATAGGTATTCAGTTAAGTACAATCAAGAGAATAAAAATGAACTTTCATGTTCATGTTTTTCAGTTCCGGACTTTTAACAGTGAAATATAAATTTAACTATAAAGGCTTAATCAAATTCTTATAAAATTCCCAGCATTTATTGAAGAAGTACAGTGTAGAGGGCTAGGTTAATTATTAAGGATTAATAATGTGTATTATCTTGATGTATGGTTTATAGGAAAAGGATGTATTTTAATTAGGATGTAAAATTTATAAGATTATTTTAGAGAGAATCGTACCTTTACTGATTGGTGTCGGGCCAACGGATTCATTCGGATTTTAGAGAGCGGACAGTAAGGATCCCTCTATTCGGCCTGTATATGTCTTGTTCCAGATTGTCTCCGTGTACTTTGTAACCTTGCCCAATTTTATATCTGTGTTGTGGTGTTGGATTTTAAGTATATCTTGACGAGAAAAGACTTTTATTCATGACAACAGTTCATGCGAACCTGGTGGTCCACAACATAATGGTGCCGTGCCAGTCGGAATCTTAACTGGGTAAAGTAAAGTAACGTAAAGTAAAGTAAATTGAAGTAAATTAACGTTCATGATACCGTGTGCTTCGGAGCCTTGTCTCTTGTGGTGGGTCCCCGTATGTGCCTGGCATCTACTCGCTGGACTCAGCCCATTTGTTTTGTTTTTGGCCCACGAGATTTGACGATTGTTCGAGATGGCAAGTGTTCATGTTGGACATGATTTTGCATCCAGCTTAGAAGAGATCAGCTACATCAAAGAGAGCCTCGAACATTTTACGAAGTTTTTCTCAAGATTGGAGGTTAGAGAAATGTCGTTGCCAATTGAATGCCAAGAAACGTTGAGCCAGTTCAAGAGAAGGTGGGCGTCGTATTTTAACACAAGAAACCCCAGCGATGAAAGTGTTCTTTCCTGTCTACGCTGTAAGAAGACTGAAACTGCAACGCAGTACCAGCGTGCCAATGTCAAAGAGCCGAAATTATTTCAGCGCGATAATTCTCGTCATTGCCCCCCAGGTTGGGAACCTTAACCAGAGTGTGTAACGGCCAGATGTACGAATCTGTTGATGAAGTCTGTAGTTTCTGTCTACGCGTCGGTCACATGAGGTACAATTGTCGCACCCGATTAAGGCAATGTTTCATT